GGCATCTTGGGACCCACTGACTTAGTCTCTTTCCTCTGTACACTAAGGTTGTGTGTTGGCATCTTGGGACCCACTGACTTAGTCTCTTTCCTCTGTACACTAAGGTGTACACTAAACTGCACTGGCCACCTAGCTCCCCAGGCTCCCTGACCCAAGAGAAACCATAGTCTCTGGGTCTCTATGCTCCCCTACATGGCCAGGCCACTTCTTAAACCCAGGCCCAGGAACAGCTAAATGCTATCTCAAACTCTATAGTCCAGCCTTTGAGGCCACATTCTGGGGTGAAGCAGCAGCAGCAGTCAGTAGCTCCCAGCTGTCTGTGGAGCTCTCCGTGCAGGCCTGTTCTTGCTGCTGCCATTAGAGCAGCCCCAAGGGCCTTCCAGCTGCAGCAGGGCCACCCTGGTAGATCTGATGAGCAGCACCCAGCTATAATTAAAGGGTTTTACAGTCCACGGTAACATGGGAACTCACACAGCAGATGGGTGAAGTGGTGGGGTGAGTGCCTTCCAGCTTACCCTGTTCAGGGAGCCATCAAGCTTGCAACAGGCCAGCCAGCCACACATGGTTGCTCCCCAGCCTCTCCTTCCTCAGGAGATGGGATCAGTAGATAGGTTAGAGTTGTGCCGTGTGTCTGGCCACCAGCTCTTGTCACTGTAGCCCCACCTAGCTGCCCTCTCATGTTCAATACACCAGCTCTCCTCTTCGCCCTAGGGGCTCCCTGCCATACATTAGCTTGCTTTATTTGGTTCAGGGACACTTGGTGTGCACTTGGACATTCGGCAGGCAGACACGAGCACATAGACATGTTGTCCTGGGGTCCAGTGGGTTGCCCAGGGGTTCCTGCCCAGTTGGGTGCCATAGCAGAAGTAGGTCTTCCCATGAGACATACCCTTCCTGTGGGGCCATGGTGTACCCCAGGTAGGGATGAGATGCCAAGAGGGAGTGGTTGGAAAGTGAGCATCTCTTGGTCTGGGTGTGTTTCTTCCCAGCCTGTGTTTCTCTTGGGATGTGGGTTGGGCCCTCACAGCCTGGGTTCACAGCAGGTATCGTAAGAGCCCTGGCAGAGCCTTTTAAAGGCTGTTTTAGCTCTATCAGAAGGTAAAATTGCATGGTAAGTCACAGTATAAAAAATTACCTGAAGAAACAGACCATACAATACCCAGATTTGAGCCTGTGGGGGAGAAGCGGTAATGGGCCCCAGTGATGTCACCTCCAGCCATCGAGCTTTTCCTTGCCTGGAGGATGCACACAGGCCCGTGCCTAAGTGCCGGCTTTCTCTTAGCTAAGGATAATGGCACCATCTCCTGCAATTTTTCCTCTTTATAAAATCAGCCTGCAGAGTTTTCTAAGTCCCCATTTAGAGTGGAACAAAGTAGAGCTTTCCCTTTTCATCTTTAGGCTGTTTGAGGAGGAGAGAGCTGCAGAAGATGGTCTGGGGACCTGGGCCGGGCACCCTGTGGCGGCCAGCTAGGTGGCAGCACCCTCATTTGCCTCCAGAGAGCTGAGGTTGTCCTCCCAAAGCAAAGCAGCTGCTTTCTCAGCTCACAGGCTCCTTCCTTGGACAGGAGTGTCTGGGTCGCTGGCAACCCTCTTGGTTGACATGTTAGATGAGAGTGTGTGGGTAGGTGAACATTTCCCAGGTGGCAGCTGGGCCATGAGCCGTACCGGCCAGTCTGGGCATTTGGGTCTCCTGAGGCAGAAACCCTTCTTGGTTGGTTCCCACTTCCATTCCTGGAATTCCCTGCCATCTTGTCCCCATCAATGAGGCCTCACAAGGCCTCCACCAAATCCTCACAAGGCCTGGGACATGCTGTAGCATCTCCTTAGGGACCTTCTGGAAAGCAGCCAGAAGAGGCTAGGCAGTGTGGGGCTTGAGTAGTAGGTCCTGTGTTTCTTCTTCAATAGCAAGAGAGCTGGCCTTATTTTTGTTTGTTGTTATCCAGAATGCAGCAGGAGGCTGTTGGACATTCTCCATGCAGGTGGCACAGAGGTAGAGACAATGGGCTGTTTTGCCTGTGCCATCTGCTGTGGGGGCCCCAGGGGACCTTGGGAAGTATAAGAGATTCATCCATGGCAGTTGTGGGTTCCCGTGTGAGGAAGAGAGAGAGAGAGAGCTATGTGAGTGTCTGGCATCTCTTGTCAGCCCCATGAGGGTTGGACAAGGCCCTGGGGAGAGAGAGCAGGCTATTTCCAGAAATCAGAGTCCCATAGGGGACCAGGTCCCCTGGAAGTGGGCAGTGTGTCCCATCTCTGCAGACTGCAGTGGTCCAGGCAAGGCATGGACATGAAACTGGAGATGGGACCACAGGCCACTCTGCAGGAAAAGTGCAAGGTTCACACAGCTGCACCCTCTTCTCTGGGGGCAGGCAGAGGCAGCCCTCCTCATCAGACGGGCTGGAGTCTCACTGGACAGCCCCTCTTATTGACAGGAAGTTGTGACCTCAGAGGTGCAGGCAAATGGTGGCATGTGTGAAGTGGCTGTGATGATGCGTACCAGCCCTAGCCTCAGTCCTGGACGGACGGCTGTGCTGCGCTAGGGCAGTGGCCCCAGTAGAGGAGGTTGTCACTCTGCAGAGGGCCTCTTGGATAATTGGGTACTGCATTGGCCTCTGAAGGGTCACAGCTCTTCTCAGTCCCTTGTTCTGGGGAACCTAATGGAGGGCTGGCCTTGGCTTTGGGCAGACTTCCCAAAGGCACACCCGTGTCGTGAGTGGGGGGAGCCTGGGGGATAGGCTGTGCTCAGGAGCTGGCCTTGGGATCACCAGGCAACCCACAGCCTTGGTACCACTAAGACAGGCGTACCTCAGAGCTGGGCACTCCCGAGGCAGCAGGTGTGAGTGTCAGAAAGCCTCCAGTAGCGGGGAGTGTGTCAGAGAGCTCGAGTGTCCAGGAGCCATGGTCCTGTGTCACTTGGCCCACACTAGCAAGTCTGCTTGCTACAGAGGGAAAGAACTAGGCAGAGTGGTTATGAGGAGGCAGCCTCGCTTCCAGTTTCCAGGACCCATAGGAGCTGTGTGGGCCACAGTTTATGCAAAACAGCCAGCTATAGATGAGGTAGAGAAGTGAAATGGGCCCAACTGGACTGTCATTCTGGGCTCTGGGCCCTGCAGATGCTTATGGCCCCTCGTGTACCCCACCCCCACCCCCAGGCACACCAGCACCAGAAGCCCAGGACCTTGCTGCAATCCAGGACTCTCCTGTGGGACCAGGGGTAAGTCCAGGTTCAAGGGCGGGGTGGGGGGGGCTCTCTCAGGTATTCTAGAATAAGGGGTCAAGGATTTCATTTGGATGCTGGGGCTGCCCTGTCCTGCAGCCCGCCTCAACCAGCTGACTTCCAGGTCCAGCTGCCATCATGGTGGCTTCTTGCCCAGTTAGTGATCCTGGACCTCACCATCCACGCTTAAAATGCCACATTCTCCCAGTGGTGAGGCTCGTTGAGTCACTGCCATTGGCACTGGAGCCTGGCCTCAACCCCTCCCAGAGTGGCACCGACACCAAGCAGCAGCTGGCTGACGGGCCAAGCACTCGGCGTTGGCAGGTTTTGGGTCACAGCCGATAGGTGGTAGCCCAGCACTCTCTGTGCAAAAAGGATGGTTCTTCCTGGTTGGGACATCAGCAGCTGAACAGGCTGGGGGCTTGTGCCTCCCGTCCCCGGCCTGGGTGGTGCTGGATGACTTTCAGCATCGTCCTGAAAATCAAACTTTAGGGCAGTCAGATCCAGGGTGCAGTCTGTAGGCTGCTTCCTGCCTCCTGCTGGCCTAGCAGTCTGAAGCGGGGGCCAAATGGACCCTAAAGACCCTTCCCAAGCCCCAGGGATGCTGCCTGGTGCACACTGCTCCTGCCTCATCCTGCTGAGCCCCCACTCTGGGCTAGCTATCCTTGCCGGTAGCCATCATCCCGCAGAAGTGGGTCCTGGGAAAGAGTCCAACCGTGACTAGAGACGAATGCTCTCTAGTGCAGCCCAGAGACCCGCCCCACCCCACCTTTTGATGTTAGCATTCCTTTCCCACTCGTGAACAGAAACTTTTGTAGGTGACTCAGTACCGCTAACTTCCGTGTAGTTCTCACAGCAGCCAGCTGTCGAGGCCACTATTACCCTGACAGAGGTGAGGAGACTGAGGTGAAAACGCTCTGAGGACGTGGGGGTGCAGATTCTGTCCCCAGACTTGCTATTGACCCCCTAGCTTGGCTCCTGCCTTGCTGGGAGACTTGGCGGACAGGGAGCTGGACAGAGCCTTGGAGGTGTCTGCCTTGCTGGGAGACTTGGCGGACAGGGAGCTGGACAGAGCCTTGGAGTGCTGGGAGCCTGGGAGCCTTGCTCCCAGTGCAAGGACGGGAGCAAATCCGGAGGGCTGTGTGAGCATCCGACCCTGCAGCAGGAGCCCTGTCCTCATTTTCCATCGTGACTGCTCTGATTCAAACTGTGACGTGTGTGAGAGATCACAGTACCAGGAGACCTCCTTAAAAATCATGAATTAAGGGAATTTGGAGGGCTCTGGATTTGAGAGCAGCCTCTGGCCTGGAGAGTGCTGGCGTCACTCCTGGCGGTGATGCATGGGCATCGTTTCCCTTTCCCACATGGTCTACTCAGGCATGTGTGCACTATTCATGCTGGGGGCTCCGTGCGAGCATCTCACCCAAGAACTCTTCTCTTCCAGCTGTCACTCTCCCAGTTGGCAGCCTCCCCACAGTCTCCGGCTCCTCCTCGCAGCTCTTCCAAGCCCCCTCCTGGGTCCCTGGACAGCCCTCAGTCCCCGCAGGGTCCCCAGCTCCAGGCAGTAAGTCTACCCACCTGGTCCTGCTTCCCTCTCCCACACAAGCTCGTCACCTCCTGGTGGGAAGGAGGTCTGATGTTTGGTTGGTTGGATGGCAGGGCTGTGGGATGGGAGGGGACGGGAAGGGGAGGCGGTGCCTGACTTCCCACCTTAGACATTTGCCACCATGCTGAGACCAAACAGGAATACCATGCTTTGCTGCACCACCTGGCATTTGGGGCTCAGACATCAGGTGTCTCTTTGCTGCTGGGCTGCTCATAGAATTTGTGATTTCTTCCTCATTGCTTTGTAACTCACATAAGAGGTTGATGTATAAAACACAGAGTGACTGGTTAACCCTGCCTTACAGATGAAAACACAATCTTTAAAAATTTACTATTTATTTTTAGTTTGGCCCAAGTATTGCATGGGATAGATGCTAAAGTCAGTCATTGGTTACCTGAAATTCAAAGCCTCCCGCGTTGATAGTTACTGAGCTGATGACTCCGCCCCCATCCAGAAGTCATTTGGGTAGTAAAACCCTTGCATCTGAGCACCTCTGGGGTCCATCATCGGCAGGTTCTTGCTGCACATCCGGTGCCCTGGTTTTGTTCAGCAGGAATCCGTGTTAGAGGGTGGGATCTCTCACCTGGAAGCTGACCTGAGCCAGACGACCTCGACCTCGGTTCTGGGAACACCTGCTGTGGACCACCTACAGGAACTTCCCTTCACTCCCTTGCATGCCCCCATTGTTGTGGGAGCCCAGACCAGGAGGTGAGGCTTGAAGGGGGAGGCCTTGGACCTTTGATCTTGATGAGCAAGCTCTCCCCGAGAGCTGTGCGTGGCACCCCTTGGGATCTGGGCTGAGGGGGTTTTTCTGTTTCAGCTCCAGGAGCCAGCTCTCGAGGGCTGCAATGGCTCTCCTTCAGTCATCTGGCTTCCCCGAGATTCTTGATGCCAACCAGCAGCCGGTGGAGGCCGTCAACCCCATAGACCCTGTGAGGTTCAACCCTCAGAAGGAGGAGTCGGACGGTCTTCGAGGGAATGAGATAGTGTTGCAGTTTCTTGCCTTCAGCAGGTAGTTTCTGGGTGCTCATCCATCATGGCTTCCTGTGTTGCAGTTTCTTGCCTTCAGCAGGTAGTTTCTGGGTGCTCATCCATCGTGCTCCCTGGCTTCCTCTGGCTGATGGTCTGACTCCCAGCATGCTCTGTGTTCAGGCTTTGCCAGCTGGCACAGGGCCATCTGTTTCCTGAGTTAGCCGATATCTATAGTGGTTGGTAATCTGATATGGGCATATGGTGTATAATGACTATTTCAGTCAGGATTTCTATTGCCATGGAGGGACACCATGAGCACGGCAACACATAAGGAAAACATTTAGCTGGGTGGCTCACAGTTCAGAGGTTCAGTCCATTGTCATCATGATCGGGAGCATGGCAGGTGGCGTGCCGGCAGACGTGATGCTGGAGAGGTTGCTGAGAGTTCTTGCATCTTGACCTTGCAGGCAACAGGAAGTGGTCTGAGACACTGGGCGTGGCTTGAGCATATTTGAGATCTCAAAGCCCACCCCACAGTGACACACTGCCTCCAGCAAGGCCACATTTCCTAATAATCCCTATGAGCTTATGGGAGCTGTTTCATTAAGACCACCACAACTGAGTCAGTAATCAATTACCTTCATCTTAAACACTGGTGTTTTCCTCATGCTGACCCCAGACCGACCAGCTGTCCTTACAGTTTTCTGGCTGGGACCCTCCTTTGTAAATGTCAGATGCTCAACTTTGTGCAGTCTTCTGGGCTAATTAAAACCTGCCCATGCGTGCCCAGTTCTCAGACTCCAGTGTTGTTCAGAGCAGCCCCTCCAGCCAGGAGGTCATGGCACCTGGAATAGCCATCATCCCGTCCTCTGAGAGGACAAAGCTGTCCTTGGCAGTGACTGAGGAACCTCGGTGACCGCAGTGCCTGTCTTGTCCCTGTGCACCCTGGGAGCGTCTCCGTGGATGTCTGATTGGTTCCCTATTCTTGTGTTCAGAGCGGCCCAGGACTGCCCCGGAGCACCATGGCCACAGACTGTGTATTTCACCTTCCAGTTTTACCGTTTCCCACCTGAGACCACACCACGCCTGCAGCTGGTCAAACTGGATGGGACAGGCAAGAGCAGCTCAGGCTCCCTGTCCCATGTCCTCGTCCCCATTGATAAAGACGGCTCCTTTGATCCTGGTAAGTGGTGGACGCTAGACTTTGTGTGGGGCTGTTTTTTATAATTCCTTTTCTTTTTAGTTGTATGTGTGTGTGTGTCTGTCTGGATGTGCGTGCCTGTCTGTCTCTCTCTGTGTGTCTATGTCTATGTATGTTATGTCTATCTGTGTATGTGGAGGCATATTTGTGTGTGTGTGTGTGTGTGTGTGTGTGTGTGTGTGTGTGTGTACGCGCCCATGGAGGCCAGAAGAGATCTCCTGGAGTTGGAGTTGCAGTGGTTGTGAGCTGTTCAGTGTCGGGGCAGGGAAACAACCTTTTTGCAAAAACAGCAAGTGGTCTTAATTGCAGACTGGAGTTTTCTTGTTCCGCCAGGTCCTGCCGATGCTTTAGCCCCAAATAAGCACACAAAGACTTATATTACTTATAAAACTGTTGGCTGATGACTAGGGCTTCTTACTGGCTAACTCTGTCTTAATTATTAACCCATTTCTATTAATCTAAGTATTTCCACGTGGTCTTACCTTACCGGAGAAGGGTCTGGACCTGCTACTCCTTCCTTTGCTATGTGGTATCTCCTTGAGGTCTCTCTCTGCCTACCTTTCCCAGAACTCTCCTCTTTTCCTAGTCTCACCTATCTTCCTGCCTCTATTGGCCAAACAGTGTTTTATTCGTCAACCAATAAGAGAAACACATATACAGAACCACCTCTGCAGTCCCATAAATGTTATGCTTATGAGAGGTACAAGGTACAGTTTGTCATATGTGCAGACCTCGAAGGAATGGTGTGATGGCTGTTCAAGCTTCACATCTGGCCAGCTGTGCTGTGCCAAGGATCTGGAGTTAGTCTTATGTTGGTGTGACTCCTGTTATCCAAGTATTTCTTTACATAGTGTCCCTGCAACTCAGGTTTTGAAAGACAAACTCAATAGTATAATCGCATCTAAGAATTAAAAATAGTTCCCTAATACTGTTAGCTATCTTGTCAATGTTATAGTTTTTGCAAGTATTCATAGTATAAAACCTAATTTTCTCAGATATGAGGTCTCAGGCTGTGAGGTGGCTCAGTGGGTAAAGGCACTTGCCACCAGGCCTGATGACCTGAGTTCGTTCCTCAGAACCCCCAGGGTGGAAGGAGAAAACCAACCCCTGAAAGTTGTTCTCTGACCTCTATATGTGCACTGTGGCATGTGTGCATGTATGTACATGTGGACACACACACACACACACACACACACACACACACACACTGCAATTAAAAACAGAAACCTTGCTGTGGTGGGTGGAGTCCTCTCTTGTCGGCTGTGCTCTCTGTAGTGAGACCAGTTCTTACCTTGCTGTAAGCTTCCGTGACAGTCTAGACTTGCTTTCTGTCTCGTGGCAGTGGCTCACAGGATGCTCTCTGCTCCCTCCTTTCCTGGGCCCTGGGGGTGAGGTCCAGGTGTGGGGTTAGATGCAGGTCTCTGTTTTTTTATGAGAGCTTTTGTGGTTGTGATGTGACACCTTCTTTGCAGCACTTGGCTTCCTCTCTTAATGGCACTATGGCCACTGACTGTGCCCACTGGGCATGGGCTTTCTCAATGGCACTGTAGTCACTGTGTGTACTCACTGAATGTGGGTGAGTGTTTCTCTGGAGAGGACACAAGAGTCACCGTCTACTTGGCTTGCTGCTCCTGGTTTCACTGTACTCTAATCCTGCCACTGAGGACACCAGAACACCCACCATGTCACTGGTTATCCTGCCTGTCCCAAGTGAACCACATCTCACAGCTGGTGAAGTCACAGGTCGTGGGAGCATTTGTTTGTCAGAAACCTGCCACCCTTCCACAAACTCTCTGAACTGATTAGAAAAATTAAAACACTCGCCTAGTGATGAGTCAGTGATGACATCAAACTGGAAGTGGCTAATGATTTTAAAGGGAAAAACAGTGCCACACATGAAGACTTAGCAAGGTGGAGGTGAGCCGTGCTTCCAGGCTGGTGTGCAGGCTGATGCCTGTGCAGGGAAAGAAGAGAGTGACCTTCCAGAGACCTCAGGAAGCCTGGGGACAGATGGGACAAAACCTGGCACAAGCAAAAGGAACGTAAAAGGAGGGTGAACATAAATGCCTCGGAAACAGAGCTGGAGGACTCTGCCGGGTGGTCGCCCTGGGGACCGCAGTCACAAGACCCAGAGCTCCCTGTGTCTTTCCAAGGTCAGAATTAATGGTGCCAGATGGTATAGACGGAAACATCTCTTTCCTGTGTTCTTTTATAACAAAGCAGTTATGGGGACATGCTGTCCGAGAGCCAACTCTGCCTCTGCTTCCACCTCTGAAGCGCTTGGACTTTCGATGGTAGGGTCAGCTGTAACAGCATCCCAGCACCTTTCTGTGGTCAAGCACAGCCTTTCTGCTTGCCCGAGCTCTCTTGGACTCCAGCCTCTGCTCCTCCTGCAGCAGGCCTGCATCAAGGAGAGGGGGACAGCTCTGACCCTCTCCCTGCCCCCTGCTGAATGGGCTGCCCCTTTCTGAGGAGCAAGAATGGAGAAGCCAAGGAAGTCACTCCACATGGAAGCTCAAGTCTCGGGGAGGGACGGCACTGTCGATACTTCCTGGCAGTGTTGGTTACCTCAACTCATTGGCCCTAACTCTTAAAGTTTACAGCCAGCCTGGAGTGTGATGTATTTCAAGCCCTGTTACAAGGCAGCTGGCACCAAGATTGTCATATCCAGCAAAGTTGCCTTTTAGAAGTGACAGAGGAATAAAGACAGGACAAAACAAAGACCTTTTACAGACCAAAGCAACCAATGGCTATGAAGCCAGCTCTGCACAGAATACGTACAGATAGAATCCACAGAGTAGGAAAGACGGTCTCAACCTAGACAGAGCAGGGAAGAGTAAATCTCACACATGGATGAGACATGGATGAGAAGAAGAGAGCCAAGAAAGAGTCCATCACTCCTCACAGGGTAAACCATCAAGGCCCTGGAATGAATAGTGGAGAATTAACTAACCAAAGAAACAGCCAGCAGATCACAGGAAGAAACAGCCCTCTTTCTTCCTTTTTTTTTCAGTTTCTTTTTTTCCCCTTTTCTTTTTATTTGAATTAGAAACAAGATTGTTTTACATGTCAGTCCCAGTTCCCTCTCCCTCTCCTCCTCCCCTCTCACCTCCCTCAACTAAAACCCTACCTATCACATACCCTTTCTGCCCCCCAGGGAGGGCGAGGCCTTCCATAGGGGTCATCAGAGTCTATCGTATCCTTTGGGATAGGGCCTAGGCCCACCCCCGTGTGTCTTGGCTCAGGGAGTATCCCTCTATGTGCATTGGGCTCCCAAAGTCCACACCTATGCTAGGGATAAGTACTGAACTACTACAGGAGGTCCCGTAGATTTCCAAGGTTTCCTCACTGAAACACTGATCCTGGGGTCTGGATCAGTCCCATGCTGGTATCTCAGCTATCGATCTGGGGACCAAGAGCTCCCCGATGTTCAGGTCAGCTGTTTCTGTGGGTTTCATCAGCTTGGTTGAAACAGCCCTCTTTCAATAGTTCTTAATATGCTAAATCTCTGATTAAAATATGCAGACGACATGATGGGATTAAAAGCAGGATCTATTTGTTGTCTCCAAACATCCCACCTCACTGGCAAGGCCCACAGACTGACAGTCAAAGGGTGGACATCAGTCTATGAAGGGAATGGAAGCCCCAGAGTAGTCAGTGTGGCCAGTCTTAGATCTAATGAAGCAGGCATCAGACCACAGTTAGAAGTGATGAAGCCCCCTACACACAAGCCGAGAAGACGCAGCAGTTATAAATATGTGGGTACCAAAGGCTGGGGCTCTGGGTTTCACAAACACAGACGCTAATGGAGGTGAAAAGACAGACAGGTCCTGAAAGTAGCCCAGGCTAGCCTTGAACTCACTATGTAGCCCAGGGTGGCCTTGAACTCTTGATCTTCTGTTTCCACTTCCCCAGAGCTGGCATGATAGGTGTGTGCCACCAAGTCAGGCTTCCTAGAAAACCTCTCTGTGTTCCCTTTGACATAGCTACTTAGGATTAAGTTGTGAATTTGTTTTGATTAAATTTTTATTAAAGATTTCTAGTTCATGGCATAGTATTCAGAGATCAGAGTTGTACGGTTTTTACTTCATGGGATGTTCTTAGGTTTTCTTTGTGGCTCAGTGTAGCCATGTTTTCCTGGTGTTCTGAATGTACTCACATTCTGTTACTGGGGCAGTGCTCGGTGTTTCTCTGCGGCTGCCTACAGGGTAGGTAGACCCTGGGGTACCGGATCCTCCCCTTTTGTGGGCTGCTGGATCTTCCCTTGAATAAGAAGAAGTATGTGTCATTATCATGTTTCCTCTGAAGCCCCACCCGCCCCTGCATGTCGGCCTTACTTGGTGTCTAGGTATTCACACCTGTGGCAGTTCGTCCTGAAGCTGGATGTTGTCTACAGGGAAACAGTCTCACTGTGAGCTGTGAACACCTGTCAGGGCAGGGGGCATTTGTGAGCCACGAAGGCATGGCCGAGTGGAGTCAGGAAGCCCACCAGATTCAGAAGTGCTCATCAAGGCTTGGGCCTGTGTGTGTGTGTGTGTGGCGGGGGAGGCTGGGTGAAGAGGCCACAAAGATGTAGCCACTAAGGGCATGGACTAGTAAGTGACGAGGGCTGTGAGCCTGCGGAGGATAGTACCCCTGCCTGTGGACTCTACTTCAATATGGCTGGTGACATCACAGCTTTCGAGCCCTCGGGGGTGACACAGGGCTCTCAAAGGCTCTTCATAGCAGTGGCTCTAGGCATGGCAGCCAAAGAGCTGTTGGTCTTGGCTGGCCCAGAGTGCAACGGGCTGTGCCCACAGTGTGGAGAGGTGGCCAGTTTGTTATGAACGGCCAGCAGGTGCCAGAATAAACAGCCCCAGGGCTGCTGCTCTGGCCCCGTGCTCAGTGGCAAATTCTCCACCTTAGTGACACACAGGCATAGGTCCTTGTGCAGGGCCTGGCATCCGGCACAGCACAGCCAGTGTTTGCTGAGAGCATGACTCAGTAGTAGCATCGAAGGGTCCTGGCATCTGGCGAATATCATGGTGATGGAGCAGGAGAGCCAGCCGGGTGGTGTTGGGAGGAGCTGGCTGCGGACACGAGGGTCCAGCCTGGGACATGCCAGAATCAGTGTGTCCAGGAACATGGGTGGACATGTGTCCAGGAGAAGCTGAGGTAGCATGCAGTGGGTGTGTTCCTCACATGTCTCTGGACAGGCCTGGCATAGAGGTCTTGCTGCAGGCCGGCACTGCTCTGCGGCCTTGGTCTGACCTGTGTGGTAAGCCCAGGTCTTGGTACTGACAGGACTGCTTCAGAGCCCATGTGTGTCTGTCTCTCGAGAGGCACGAGGGTCTGGCCAGGCTCTCATCTGTGAACAGGTCCTGAGCTGAGGTCTCAGGACCTGCCATCAGGGCCAGGCTAGGGTTGGTGGTGACTTTGTGCCGTCCTCTCTGAGATGCCACAGCGGGGCATACCTGTCTTCTGTGTGATGGTTTTCCCTTAGCTCCTCTTAGGTCTGTGTCCTAATGCCTCTCTTGCTTTTCCATCCCGAGAAATGACCTAGGCCAGGCCTCACCACCACACGTGCCTGGGGTCCACCTCAGACCACCCATTTCCAGTCTCCATTTCTCAGGGCTGGAGTCCCGCTCATTGACTGCGCCATCTCGTATTGCACACCCTACCTCCACTAAAAGGGTGCCGTCTGTCTCCTCTCTGGAGGTGAGGGCTCTGCTCGCACACTCTCTCCTCTCTGGAGGCGAGGGCTCTGCTCGCACACTCTCTCCTCTCTGGAGGCGAGGGCTCAGCTGGCACACCCTCTCCTCTCTGGAGGCGAGGGCTCAGCTGGCACACCCTCTCCTCTCTGGAGGTGAGGGCTCTGCTCACACACTCTCACCTCTCTGGAGGTGAGGGCTCTGCTCGCACACTCTCTCCTCTCTGGAGGCGAGGGCTCTGCTCCCACACTCTCTCCTCTCTGGAGGCGAGGACTCTGCTCCCACACTCTCACCTCTCTGGAGGCGAGGGCTCTGCTGGCACACCCTCTCCTCTCTGGAGGTGAGGGCTCTGCTTGCTGCAGTCTGATAGATACCATTGGTGCTATTGATAGAAGGGGGAAATGCTACTTTGAGTGTCTCTCGGCATTGCTGCTCCATGCACTTTAACTAACGGTGATCTCAGTGTCAGTTTTGTCGATTCAGAATTAATGATCATGTCTCTTCAGGAAGATGAAGGCAGAGGCCACAGTCTAGCTACCATGTTAGCCAGCTTGATTGGTAGGTGCAGCCTCAGAGAGGCACCTGGGATTTCTTGGGGCTCATGTCCTACACTGAGGTAGCCCAGCAGGGGAGGTTCAAAATAGAATACCTTTGTGTGTGTGTGTGTGTGTGTGTGTGTGTGTGTGTGTGTACACTCATATGTATGTGCATGTGACCCAGCCTGACAGTACCTGTGGACTGGGCTCCTCTTAAGTTCTCTGTGTAGATAATAAACTCCCTGGTGAGCCTCGTGGGGCGTTGTCCCCATCTATCACCAGGACTCTGTGGAATCCATAAGTCCTATTTTGGGAGCTTATTGTGCACACTGGAAAGGAGTTGAGTCTCCTGAGCAGACTCTTCACTTTGTAATTTGGGTATTTATTTTATGATATTTTTGATTAATGTGTTTATTAACTGTCGTTGTGACGGAAGCAGAAATTAGTAATCATGACCAGAGTAGAAATATCTCCAACATGTAAAGATGATGAATGGCTCCAATTACTCGTAGACTCACTCGGGCCTTCTCTGTTCAGGCTCTCCCGGCTTCCAGCTGAGGTACATGGTGGATCCCGGGTTCCTGAAGCCAGGCGAGCAGTGCTGGTTCATCCACTATCTGGCTGCTCAGACGCTGCAAGTCGACGTCTGGGACGGAGACTCTTTGCTCCTCATTGGGTCTGCTGGCGTCCAGATGAAGGTAGCGGCCTACCGAAGGCATGGGCAGGGCAGGGCAGGGCAGTGCTGGGGCACAAGTCACCGTTTGGCATGTCCCCTAATGGCAGAGTCACAGCCCAGCACCAGGTCATGCTGACTTCTGGTTTGCTAATGACAAACAGTGCAGCATTCTCTGCCCTCTTAGGGGACAACCCTCTCCGGGGAAGCTGAATTCTACAGCTGTGTGTTTCCTGGTGAGCTTTGCTCCCATACTGACCCTCCAGGTAATGCCACCTTCTGACTCTTCCAAAGTGATGACATAGGTTGTCTGAGGGTGGGTACTAGTCGCTTGTCCTCTGTGGTGTCCTGAGCTGGCCCATCAGAGGGGAGAAATGAAATGACTGAGGTATGGGGAGGCTACCTGGTTCCTATGGGTGGCAATGTATTTCTTTTTCCCTTCCTATACGGAGAATCAAACCCCGGACCTTGTATGGGTCTGGCAAGCACTCCGCTGCCAAGCCACACCCACACCAGGGAATTGTTGGCTTTCATTTTGGTTGGAATCTTCTGACTGTGTCTCCCTTCCTCTTCCTGTGTGGACACTGAGGTCCATCACTCTTCCCTGGGCTTTCTCCCCAAGCCTTCTCTCTCTGTGCGGTAAAGTGGAGACCCCAGAGGATCAGCTTACCATCACTGTGAAAATTCCTGGGCAGATGCTGATCCCTCCTGGATCCCAGTCACATTGTCTACCAGGCTCCGCGCCTTCACCTTGTCCTTAGGTGGTTGCTGGGCACTGAGATCCATGGATCCCAGTTGTCAACCCCTGTCTCTGGGTGCTTGACCCACAGATGGCACCCCCTTCCTCTCTGGGGCTGTTAGCACCTTCCTCTCATCCTCCTCTTCCCTCTTTTAACTTGTCCTGTCTCTGCTAACCACCTTGTCACTCAGCATCCCTGGCCCTGGTGTCCTTTGTGAGAGGGTGATGGTCCCTGGATAAGGATGGTCTGTGGATGCTGGAGGCGGGGTCTGCAGCAGAGAGGAGGCAGGAAGGGTACCAGGGGCCTCACAAGGCAGCCGTAGAAGCATGGCAGGGGGCTCTGCCTGGCCCCAGCCGCAGCTACTTTACTGGGTCTATCTCCTTGGAAATATCTGGGGTGTGTGTGTGTGTGTGTGTGTGTGTGTGTCTGTCTGTCTGTCTGTCTGTCTGTGTGTGTGTGTGTGTGTGTGTGTGTGTGTGTGTTTGAGGCCAGCTCCTCCTGATGGGCTCTGAACAACCACACCCATCCCTCCAGGGTGCCATCTTTGCAATCAGCCTTCCATTAGGATAGGCACACGAGAGACACACTGTTCCGTTCACATGCCCTTGCTTCCTGAAAATGCTAGATGTTTTTGTGTATTTTCTGGGTCATTCTTCAAAGGCCTTGTCCTATTTTCTAGTACCAGGGGCTCTTGAACCATGGATACACGTGTGCATGTTGAGGTGTGCAGTTGTCACTGGCTGGCAGCCTTCAGGGTGTGGAGCAGCTCACTCTGGCCCCTTCACTACCAGAGAAGGTGCTCTCACAGCTGTAGAAGAGACCCAAGCCTTACAGACGTTTGGACCATAGTCTGGTTCCATACTCCTGTCTGATAGGTGGGAGCTCCAGGGCACATGGCTGTTGAGGTCCGAGCTGGCCCGGAGCCTGTGATCCCAGCCCTAGTGCCCTGCTCAGGCAGAAGCCTGAAGATGACAGCTGGAGAGACGTGCTCAAGAGAGCCCTCCTGATGCTGTCCTGGGGCAGCCTTTGTGCCACTCCCTCTGCTCACCCTCCTCACTGGCACCCGGCACCTAGGGCTTCATGCTGCCTCAGCCGAGGTCCAGAGGTCCCCATATATCCTGTGACCCTGTCTGTCCCCTCCTTCAGCCAGACTGAAGCCTGTCGCCCTGTCCTTGTGGGCTCTGCTGTGTGCACACTGGCCTGGCTCCCTTCCTGGTCCCTGTGTCACCTTTGCTGTGAAAGCCCAGTTTTATCCAGAGAGGGGCTTGGCCAGTTCCTGCCTTGTTCTGTTGCCTGTATTTCTCGTTTTGGAGGCTGGCTCCTACCAGGCAGCTGGCAGGCCCCCGGGTGCACCACAGCACCACCCAGTGTTTATCCAGGGGCCAGACTGGGCTCTGCTTTGTTAAAGCTGATGTTTCTGAAGACTTGGCCTCTTGCCTCATCTCCCCTTCAGTGTGGCAGGTGACTAGAGCTCCATAGCTGATGCCCTTCACGGACCTGCCTTCCCCCTCCTCCTCCTCCAGGGCCTCTCTGGGTGGCTCAGGAGAGGGGGCGGCAGTGGCTAGACCCCAGCTGCTCAGCACCGTGTCTTCCCTCTACAGCACCTCCTCCGCCAAGGGCGGCCAGCCGTTCAGGTCTCACATGAACTGGAGGTGGTGGCCACCGAGTATGAACAGGAAACAGTGGCCATGAGTGGTGACATGGCTGGCTTCGGCAGCGTCAAGCCCATTGGCGTTCACACGGTGGTGAAGGGCCGTCTGCACCTGACCTTGGCCAATGTGGGTAAGATTCCGGCAGCTTCACCTAGTTTCCCGGGTCCTGTGTCATTTCTCCAGCACCAGGTTTCCCCAACTAGAGCAGCAGGGTAGCATCGCCGTGGTGGACATCCCACACTTGGTAGGAAACTGAGATCTGGGTGAGCGTGGCTTCCAGCCTGACCTTGGCTACTGCCCCTGTGTTGGTGGCGGGCAGTCACTGCCTGGGCCGCCTGGGTCCTGATGTGAGCTCGGAATCACCAGTCTTCTCAGGCTTGTCAGCGGATTGTCTTGTGACACTCCAGCAGAGTGACAATGCACTAGGAGGGGTCTAACTTAGTGTCCCACCCTCCAGTGGAGAGAATCGAGGAGAGAGAGCTATCTTTGTAGCTCTGGGACAGCAGAAGGAGGAGAGCACTCCGTTTGAGTCCAGTGACATTGTTTCAAGGTGGCTCAGCAGAGGGACTGACATAGCCTGCTCTTGTTATTGCCCTCACCTGACTGGTGAGGGCAGTGGTTGAGACTAGCTCTGGGTGGTCTTGCCTGGGTTCTCAAGAGGCTTTCGCCGAGAGCTGAGACGCTGAGGGGCCGCTGGACAGAGGCATCAAGGCATAAGGTCACATACCTGTCCTGGGGAGGTGGGCCACAAGGGGACCCTTCAGAGCTGGCAGCATGCTCACTGACCCTCCCTTGAGGGTACCCCAAGGGCGGATGGTTTTCCTGCTGAAGTTGAAAGTGCAGGACTGGTTGTGGGAGGCCTTCTCCATGCCGGAACCAAGATCTCTGCCATCGTATTAGGGATTTTTCCATTCCTCAAAACCCAGCCAGCCCTGTTTTAAGTCCAGGAGCCCCACGGGCCACATCCAGCCTGTGCTGAGGCACGGGTTTGCAGAGTGGTGGTGGCAGAGGAGGGAACACACAGCTCATTAAGTCTGGTTGGAGGTTTCTGCCTGCTTGTTTACAAATGTAAATCCAAGGCAGCTTGGAAAATAGACAATATGGAAACAGCAAAAACTCAATTAGGTTCTGGGGAAGTGAACGAGGCCTCTGTGAGAAGCAGGCTTTTACTCAGGAGCCTGAGCGACTCAGGGAGCCGCAGGACGTGCCCAGCTCCAGCCCCGGCGCAGCCCTTTTGATATTTAATTCGCCAGCCCACAGATGTGCGGTGACTCCAGGTTTGAAAAATCTTATCTCAGAAGAAAGATGGGCTCTGTTATATGTTATCTTAAACTGCCATTTTCATACTTTGCCTGCAAGAGGGAGATAAGCCCACGGGGGGGAGTGCCCGAGATAGCCAGCTCAAGGGACACCGGTGCATGCCGCCAGTGAAGGACGATGTTGGTGCGGCCACCTGTCTCTCCCCCACCCCCAACCTTTTGTTAGGTATCGGAAATGTTACGACCTTCATTTCTTTATGAAGCCGGCAATTCCATTTGGTGTAGCAGTCATGTTTCAGTAAATTGGATGCTGGCTGTGGAGGCCTTCAGGGTGACGGACACAAAGCTTACACCTCGGCCTGGTCGCAGCACCCAGCAGCTTCATTCACAGCGAGATGGCTGCATGGGACGGCAGATAGCTGCTGGCAGCCACCGGCTCTCCCCCACCGGCTCGCTGGCTGGCTGTGTGGCTTCTCCTCCTGGACCCTTGAACTTTCTTTGCTGATTTTCTTTTTCATGCTGTCTCTCGTCCTTCAAGGATTGAATGGCCTCACTGCTTTCCCCTCCTTCAGTTATGCTGGTGAAGTAGGGGTCTCCTGGGAAGCCTTGCGGGGAGGCAGGCAGCAGGACTGATGGCCCTTGGGCCAAGCGTCCATGTCCCTAGGAACTATGATGGCAAAGCTTAGGTTTTAGAGAGCATCCCTGGCGATGAGCTTTGCTCTGGAGTGGGACTGACACCTAGTGGTGGCCCCGTTACGCTTCCCCTGTGGAGTCATGATGGGAGCCCTGTGTGTATTTCTACCCCGGCTGCAGATGAGTTGGTGTCTCTGGCATAACCTTCTGTTCCCCCAAAGTGGAAGAAAGTTTGTGCCAAATTAGCTTGGCAGATTATACCCGATGGCAATGCCACTGCCTTGTGCGGCTTCTGACAGCACATTGGAGGCGAGTTCATTTCACACAGCTTATCGCCGTCGTCGACGAACAGACCTTGAGATTGAGAGTGTGCTTGTTTCGAGGGGAGATAGCATCATGAACAGCAGAGTCCCTTGTCCCCGGTGACCCTGTCCAGCTCATCTCACTGCCGCAGGCAGCTGTCGTCACCACCTACCATCCTGTGATCCTGAGGTGGAAGAACTGTGGTCACCTACCCGTGCCATGTAGGTGGACCTTGCTGTGTCTTCCCCGGAGCGGTCTTCCTCTTAAAGCAGGGTGTGTCTGCGATGTATGTTCCAGGCTGGTGCTCACTCTGGTGAGAAGTGGATATGAGCCAAGGCCTGATGGAGGGACCCGCTGGCCACGAGGTGATGGTAGTCAAGAAAGCCGGGGAAAATCCTGAACTTACTCCCCACGTGGGGCAAATCCTCTGCCAAGTAAGAGCGCGCCAGCCACAGTATTCCTGCTGCCAGATGACAGACTTGTTCCATCTTGGAGTGATTCCCCAGGACGTGACAGAGAACTTGCCAAGACCCTGCAGTTCACAAGCTGCCACCCTCTGCACTGCATCCATACGGAAAAGAGCGAGGCTGAGGGGCCTGGATCAGCTCTGAGTGTGTGGCTGGGAAACAGGCACCCAGGCGGGGTGCGGCGCACATTGGGTGTCTTGGTAACCCCAGATAGCAGCAAGCAGCGGCAGGATCTGTGGAGAAGCCGAGACTGCGTGTCTGTGGGGAAGTGGCAAGGACACCTGAGCAAGTGACAGCTGAGGTCGCTGTATCATCATGGGCCATGGAACCAATGCCAGAGTGAGGGCAGGACGAGGATCAGCCACCAGGACACCAGTTAGAATGATTCCCTGCTGGGAAGAGATTCTAGGGACAGGTCAGCCTTGCCCTCTGGCACCTAGGAGTGTGGCAGCTAGCACTGGACACAGAAACTAGCCATGAGAGTTGATATCTCATCTCAGGCTGGGGGTAGGTGGCTTGGTCTGGCACCTGTCTGTCCTGTGAGCTTTGGGAGGTGCTGAGCCCTGTAGCAGTGAGAGTAGGACGGGGCTCCAGTGTTTTGTAGAACTTTGGTTTTGAGGAACTGTTGTGGCCTACAGGAGAGGCAACCAGGCACCAGGAAGCCAATGGATGCGTGAGACCGTTTAAAAATGACCGGGGCGCGAGCCTTCTGGAAGAAGAAGGCTTTGCATACTCTTCTGTTCTGAGGCGTGTTCTCCCGGGCGGTGCTGGAGTGGGTTGCTGTCTCTCTACTTGAGGTGCTCGCTGAACTCCTGACCCTACTTCAGCCACAGTCTTTACCCTCACCAGTCTTTCAGGAGGGACGGCCTGCATGGCCCTGACGCAGCTGGGGTCCCCAGCTGTAGAATCTGAAATCCAGGCTGGGTTTGTGGCCACCCATTTTTCAGCTGTGTACAGACCAGCCCGACCCCACGGAGGATGGAAGCCCACCCAGTCCACCTCCAGGCCACATCCACAAGGATACATCTCTCAGGCAGCTGAGATCAAAAGAGCCACCTCTGTCACCAGGAGAGCCTGGGTCACCCCGAGGGCTGTGGGCCTGCAGATGAGCCCCATGATGAGATTCAGTGAAAGCAGAGCCTTTGAGTAGGAGGAGGGTGAAGAGTGGGTACATCTAGAATGAGGAAGAGGCCCCTGTGAAGGGGGGTGGGGGGCAGGGTGGGAGGCAGGGTGGGGGTGCAGCGGGAGGGTGACTTCAGAGAAGCGGGCAGCCTGGGCAGGGGTTCCTGCTGCTGCCAGTCCCAGGAGGCAGCCAGGATGCTGTGCCAGCATCGCTCCACACTGCCCTGCTGAGCCTGGCAGAATGCACAGCACAGGTGTGCTTGGGCAGCTGGGTGGTTCAGTCTGGAATGTGATTCATTAGCTAGGCTCTGCCTCACTCCTAGTCAAGGACCCCGGTGGAGTTGTGGGTCTGTGCTCCCAGAGTGCGCCTGTGGGCAGACACTGCCTCCTCAGGGCTCTAACGGCTTGCAGCATCTCAAAGTGCCTCCTCCAATCTGCTGGCAGGCAGCATAGCCAAGCCTTCTCTGAGGCCGCTACTGCTCTGCAGAGGCCCCCACATGAAATCCCATCTGTCTTCGCTTGCGTGTGGAGAGGCCTGTCCTAGAGCCTCAGCTCTCCCAGGCCCGGCTTAGAGATGGAGGCATTCTCCATGAACTGTGTGTGATCAAACGGAGATCCCTTGAGTGCGGTGGTGGGAGGGGACCCAAGCCTGGAGAAGACAGTGCGGAGACAGCCGGTCTCCTACCCACAGTTGCCCTTGCAGGACGCACTGGACTGCAGCAGCTGCCACCTGGGCATGCTAGTGAGTCTGAGAGTGGAGATGGAGAGGCGTGCACAGGCCCGGGCTCTGTATGGGAGAGCTGGTGTGGTCTACCAGTCCCTGCTTTGGGCCCCTGTCTCATGAGGGTGCTTTTCATTTAGGTCACGAGTGTGAGCCCAGAGCAAGAGGTTCCAGTTCACTGCCACCATCCAGGTCTCGGGTCATCTCAAATGGAGCCAGCTTCTTCTCTGGGGGAAGCCTCCTCATACCAGGGGGCTCCAGACGTGAGTTGAGTCTGTGGTCACATGCTGGGTGACAGATGGTGTGGGTGGTGCAGTGAGTCAGAAGCCTCTGTGTGTGTGTGTGTGTGTGTGTGTATGTGTGTGTGTATGTGTGTGCACGCGCACGCGCGTGCCTCCATTCGTGTTGGCCAGAGGTCAGTGTTGAGTTTCTATAGCTTTCCACCTTAGTTTCTGAGGCAGGGTCTCTCACTGAGCCTAGAGGTCACCGATTGGCTAGCCTGCCAGGCCAGTGAGCATCGAACCTCTGGGATCCTCTTGCTCCACCTCCCTGTGCTGAGATGACAGGCGTGTGCTGTCACACCTGACTGTTTACATGGGTGCCCAGGGCCTTGTGTGTGTACAGTAAGCACTAACCACTGAGCCACCTCCCTAGTCTTGACACTGATTTCTAAAAGCAGATTAGAAACTTCTCGCTCCACTGTTGGTGGATGTAGGGGGGGAGACTGGAGTCTGGACGGGGAAGTCCTGGCTTTGAGGAAAATGCCTCCCTCGGGGGTCTCTGCAGTCTTTCTGCTCCCTAAACATGAAGGCCCAAGGACCTGGATGTGATCTGCTGTCATCTGAAGGAAAAGGAGGCTGTGCTCTCTGAGTGGCCCTTTGCCCAGGTGTTGCAGATGGTGACTCCTGGAGCTTTCTTATGTGGAGGTCCCCGCTCTGTCGTCCGTTGGCCACGGCCTTGGACTGTGTCTTGAGAACAGGATGCCGGAGCCACGGCTTGGAGCTCAGTGAATCCTCTAGATTCCACGTGTCACAGGACCGTGGGAATCTTCCCATCTAATTCCCGACTCTACAGTCAGAACTGTGCATTCTCCCACACAGAGAGCTGTGGGCCCGGCAATTGCTCAGAGGGTCCACGTATGCCCCTTCTGTTGTAGGCCAGCCCCTTGTTTTAATATTCAGTGAACTAAGGCAAGGGATGTCACATGATGATTAGGATGAGGTGTAAGGTTGGGCCTGGGTTCCCTTCTTAGGCTCAGTGTGCTTCATTCCCAGTTAGCCCCTCTGACCAGCACAGGAAGCTGGCACAAGTGAGGGCCCATTGAGAAGAGAGGCCTGGAGTCAGGTGCCCTGCAGCCTCTGTGATGGGCAGAGGGTTCCTGCGAGAGCCTGTGTTCCCTGGGGTGGAGCTCACAAGCTCACACGAGACCTTGAGAAGATGTAGGTGTTTCCTGTGTTTTGAGAAGTGTGGTCTCCATGGCCCCTCCAGAACCGCATTTCTGGCTGCTTTGGAGTCGGGGGAGTCATCTGTTGGGGTGAATGTGCTGTCCCTTGAACTCATCTTGAATCCTGGCTGTGTGGCTGCCCCCAGTCTGCTGTTTCTCCTGGGTCATGGCCACAGGATGCTCAGGCCAGATCCCAGGCTGGGCTTCCTTCTGCACGCCCACGCTCTGACATACAAAGTGTTCACTCAGGCAGTCACTTTAGACGTCTAAGCCAACTTGTGGCATTGAAAAAGCAATGAAATGGATTTAAAATAGAATGGTGACAAGGAGCCTGGAAACTGTGAGCATCAGGCAAGTAGAGGAACTGCAGTGCTTTGCCAGGCGGGGCACTTTAGCCGGGTGCTGGCCCTGTGAGATGATAGGGAGTCAGGCCCCCCGGAAGCTCTGCTGGTTGAGGAAACTCTTACTTGCAAGTGGGGGAGGATCCAGGGCTCAAGGTAGGATCCCCCTCTCACCTCCCCGCCTGGATTCTTATGGGTCAGCCTGTGACTGTGACGTGACCTTGTCACCAATTGCAGTTGGTGACCATTTGCCCCAGCTGCCTCCCAGCAGGGGGCATAGGTGGTGTGTGCCCTGCTGCCTGCTGTCTGTGGCCGGTTCAGCTTCTGCTCACGGTGAGTCCAAGCTTGCCCATGGGAGGGTGCCCTCTCCAGAGGGCCACTGAGAGCAGCTCTGGAACGAGGCTGTCTCTGGGAACCCCGTTTCTGATAGAAACTTGGGGATTGTGCTGCGGGCACACAGGTGGGGCCCGGGAGCCAATGCAGCTGGTCCCCAGGGGCAGGCCTCTGCGGCAGTGACACCCATCCCCCCATCTCCACCTACCCGAGGCCACAGTTCAGGAGAGGGTCTTATCATACAATTACAAATCCGAGGATCTGGCTTTTCCTTTAGAAAATCATCTAGTGATGTTAGCTGGGGACTAGGATCAGAGTTGCTTAGGTTTCAGGGACCGTGAACGGGAGCTGCTGCGAGGGATCAGGCCCCGAGTCTCCGTCTTTATCAGTAGAGTGACACAGAGCAGATCCACGCCGGAAAATCTCTGTGAAGAGGCTCTGGGGACCAGTCACGGGCTCTGCTGGTACTCCACACATCGCCCCGACCCCTCCTCTCCTGCTCCTCCAATAGGGAAATGTGTGGTACAAGCGCAGAAGCTGGCTGATGTGGACAGCGAGCTGGCCGCCATGCTGCTGACCCACCCTGGAGCTGGCCCGGGGCCCCAGGCTGCCCGCGGGGAGCCAGATGCCGCACACAGGCGCAAGCTGGAGAGGATGCGGCTGGTGCGCCTGCAGGAGGCCGGAGGAGCGTCCGACAGTCGCAGGATCAGCTTGCTGGTGAGCGGCTCCCCTTGCTGCAGTCATCCCCAGAATCTTCCACACTCGGGGACAGAGCTTCAGTGTCGTCACCTCAAGTGGGTCTAAACCCAAAGGCCTTTTGAGGCAGCCACCCCCCCCACTCAGCCTCCTTAGCGTTGGACCCGAGGGTCCCAGTGCAGCTGCAGACTGGGAACCCTGGCACGGGGTAGGTGAGCCCTGCAGAATTGTCGTGCAAACTAGAGAACAGATCAGTGTCCCAGCCCGCTGCACCCAAGGGTGTGGGACAAGAGGCGGTTAGGTTGGCAGACTGGTTGGCACATGTGGACCCAGCCTGAGGTCCCCGGATGCTGGGCTGCTACACTGGGCTTATATGTCGTCTGTGGACTGTTGTCCCAGACAGGCTTTGGCACCATGTGGGGTACCTGCCCGGTGAGTCCTGTGGCCATGTGGTTCTTATTTGATATCACTGTTCCTAGTCCCCTGTGCTATGCCTGGTGCCTTCCCTTGTGGTTAAAGGGGCCTCCTGGGAGTGTGTAGGATGGATGCAAGCTGGTGATGGGGATGTCCTTCTGTATATGCTTCTCTTATTGGTTGATGACTAAAACACTGTTTGGCCAGTAGAGGCAGGAAGATAGGTGAGGCTAGGAGACAAGGAGAATTCTGAGAAAGGTAGGTAGAGAGAGACTGAGAGGAGACACCATGTAGAGACCGGGAGGATAGGATGAGCCAGGTGTTCTCCAGTAAGGTAAGGGCATGTAGAAATACACAGATTAGTAGTTATGGGTTAATAATTAACACAGCTAGCTAATAAGAAGCCCTAGCCACCAGCCAACAGTTTTATAATTAATATAATGTCTCTGTGTTCATTTGGGGCTGAAGCAGCAGGACCTGGTGGGACAAGAAACTCCAGCAACAAGCTGAGATGTGATACTCTGTTCTGTTCTGAGATCCCTGGAGTATGGGGGACAGACAGTACTTCCAAACCATATGGCTAAAGAAGGGGAAATTGATTTTCAAAAGAAACACGGTGCCTCAGGAGAGTGGGGTCTGGCAAAGCAGGGACTCAGGGATGAGGATGCCCAATGTGGCCCCTTGTGTTTATAGGCCCAGCAGAGTATCCGTGCACAGCATTCACGGGACCTGCAGGTCATTGATGCCTACCGGGAACGCACCAAGGCTGAGAGCATCACCAGCGTGCTAAGCCAGGCCATCACCACCCACCACACGCTGTACGCCACGCTGGGTACGGCTGAGTTCTTTGAGTTTGCCCTTAAAAACCCGCACAACACTCAGCACACGGTGGCCATTGAGATTGATAGTCCAGAGCTCAGGTAAGAGCTGCCACCTTGTGTGTGTGTGTGGGTGTGTGTGTGAGCGAGAGAGAGAGAGAGAGAGAGCGAGAGAGAGAGAGAGAGAGAGCGAGAGAGAGAGAGAGAGAGAGCGAGAGAGAGAGAGAGAGAGAGAGAGAGAGAGAGAGAGAGAGAACCCCTTGGGCTGATGCACCTCTAGAGAGAGAGAGAGAACCCCTTGGGCTGATGCACCTCTAGCATGGAAGCCAGGCTGGCTATCCCCTGAGCTGCCACCGTGTGTGTGTGTGTGTGTGTGTGTGCGTGTGTGTGTGTGTGTGTGTGTGTGTGTGTATGTATGTATGTATGTATGTGTATGTGTATATGTATGTTTGTGTATGTGTGTGTGTGAAAACCCTCTGGGATGATGCACCTCTAGCATGGAAGCCAGGCTGGCTGTCCCCTGTCCCCTCATCTGAGGGTCTCCGGGGTGGTGAGTGTATTTTCTTTACACATCATGGTCCTCACCGTCCCTGTCCCTCCCTCTAGCATCATCCTGGACAGTCAGGAGTGGAGGTACTTCAAGGAGGCCACTGGCCTGCACACACCCCTGGAGGAGGACATGTTCCACCTGCGTGGCAGCCTGGCACCCCAGCTCTACCTGAGACCCCGGGAGACTGCCCACATCCCTTTCAAGTACCAGAACTTTTCTGTGGGCCCACTGGCTCCACCACAGGTGTGAAGCAAGACCCAGGCAGAGCAGAGACGTGCCGTCCATCCAGGTGGCATAGAGGAAGAGCGCTTTTCTGTCTCTGCAAATGTCCCTACTCCCTGTGTCTGTGCCAGGATGATTAGCCCATGTCTGCAGCAGGGGACTACCCCTGACTGGTGCCCGCCCTGCTCGTCACTCAGCATGCACTCCTCTCCAGAGCTATGTGCGGCAGCCTGGATTCTTCTCTCTCTCCTGATGTGTGTCAGGGAACGGCACCCCTGCACCGCCCCTGTGGTTGGCCCCTTCCCTTACAGCCTGTGCCTCTCTGTACAGAGCCAGCACAGGTGCCCGGAAGGCATACACCAAGTGTGAATGTGTGAGGGGGAGGGACACTTGAAGCTCTGACCTCTTTAACGATTAGTTCTTTAGTCACTTATGAGGGGCTTGAGGAATCCCAGTTCCTCAGGTGTCCAGCTGGCTCGTGGGCAGGGCCACAGGGCAGTGACGAGCCTGGTGGGTGAGGCTGACAGCATCAAGCTGCAAGAGCTTGCATGAGAACAGGGTGGTGACGCTCAGGAGCTCATGGCCCTGGCTGGTCTGAATGTCAGTGTGCTGCTCCGTGCCTCACAGGCCCCTGCTGAGATGAGCTCTGAGAAGGACCCGGAGTCGAGAGCCCTCTGGAAGTGCAGTGCCATGCCTACTAAACACGCCAAGGTAGGAGGACCGGGGATGTCTTGGCGTTTTTAGTCTTAGAACAAGACGAGTCTCTGAGCCTGCCAAGCCAGGCATGTGATGTCTCCTGTGACACTCTGACCCGCCTCCTCTCCTCCCTGCTGGGTAGGATTCTAGACGGAAGTAAGATGTGGCAGGGACAAGGAGGCCCCAGCTGTGCCTAGACACTGGCACAGCCCACGAGAGGGTAGACCACCTGGCAGCTCTGTGCATGGGAAGCTGCTGGTCCTAGTGGCTGCTGGTTACTGTCCCTCAAACACAGCTGTCACAGCACATGGCCACTTGGCAGCAATCTAAAGGTGTATGTGTATGGTGTGTGTGGTGTGTGTGTATACATGTGTTTTACTGTATGCATGTGTGATACATAGGCCAGAAGATAGATAGGTAGATAGATAGATAGATAGATAGATAGATAGATAGATTGGTAGATAGATTGGTAGATAGATAGATAGATAGATAGATAGATAGATAGGTAGGTAGATAGATAGAACGGTAGATAGGTAGGCCAGGCCATGGGCCTGGGTGGTAGCTGAGCTGGTCAGTCCTGGCCTAAGGCAAGGGGGCAGAGGCAGCTGCCCTACCTCCCTGCCCTCAGGGTCAGTGATTCACCCCTGCCTGTGAGGGGTGAGGCCATCTTTCCTGAGTGTAGGGACCAGCTCTCTTGCTGAAGTGTCCAGAGAGAGAGTCAAGGCCAACTAGGAAAATGCATTTGTGGTACTTTGGATTCCCTGCTCCTCACACAGACCTTTTGCTTAGTGTAGTCTGGACGGAGGGTGGCCTGAAGGCCCTCATGTTCCCGAGTCTCAGGAAAATGCATTTGTGGTACTTTGGATTCCCTGCTCCTCACACAGACCTATTGCTTAGTGTAGTCTGGACGGAGGGTGGCCTGAAGGCCCCCATGTTCCCGAGTCTTGCTGTGTGCACCATTGCGCTGTGCCCACCAGGCTGCAATACCTGTGAGAACTTGTGTCTGATTTGCAAGCAGTCCTTGGCTTCGCCTGTGTGGAATTAACACATGCATTGTTTTGTGCTGCAGATGGTGTCCGAGTTAGCACTGTCACCGGTCAAATACCTGGGGTCCTTTTGCTTAGGCAAGAAGACCTTCTTCAGGTACTGACCGATGCAGTTTCCTCCCTTTGCTGTTTGTTGGGGGTCAGCAGCAGCAGCAGGCAGCACCCCCTGCAGCTACAGCTCTCACCAGGTCTCTAGCTGGACTCTTAGCTCACTGTTAGTTTTGTGTAAGCCAGGGAAGCTAGGGCTCCTTACCTCTGACAGCAGCCACAGGTTACAGTCCTGGGGCCTGAAGACAGCCCAGACCTTGGTTCTTAGAGAGTTGGTAGCTTCTGGAACTCTCCAAGCGGCCAGGAACTGCAGTTTGTCTTTGACTCTTTAGCCTCAGTTCTCAGCCCTCTCCCCACATCCTCCTTGTCCCTGCTGTGACCACTCTGAACTGCTCTGCAGCCTCTTGTTGCTATGGCTACTGTTATAGTTGTCACTGCTCAGGACGCGGCTGCTGCTGCCTGCCACTGTGTGCTGTGGTGAGATGCCTGTCCCAAGGCTGTCTCCTTTGCTGCTATCAAGGCAGCCGGCTGCTCTGCCCCTTAGGCAGCTCGGCCTGCCAGACACTCTTGTCTCCGCCAGTAGCTGGCTGATCTGCTGCCTCTGCCGCTCCACGGAGAGCAGGCGAGAGGAGAAGCCTTCCGCTGGCCTTGTGTTGTAGTACCAGGGAAGGCAGGATGGGGCCTCCAGACCCCAGCCGGCTTTAGGTTGGCTTTAAAATTGAAGATTACTTACAGGGATCCAGATTCAAACTAACATAAAGTACATTTTCAGGAGGAGCTAGCTCACTTCCCCTCCTGTCTTCCCCCATTTCTTCTCAGTGTGTCACGTGTGCGTCGAGTGTGTCTGTCGCGTGTGCGTTGTATGCTTGTGTCCTCTGTGTCCTCTGTGTGTGCACGTGTGCACCTCAAGTGCCTGTAACAATCAAGGCTTCCACCCATTACACCACCCGTCCGTCAGCTCTTCTGCATAGGTGAGTGTGTTTGTAACTGTTTTGACAGGGGGACATTTCTAGTCCCCTCGGTTTAGGCATGGCCTCCTTCCCCACACTGGGATTGAAGGCCCATGGTGTGCTCTGTCCCTAAACACAGCACCTGCTGCTACCATGAAACCTGGTGAGGTTCAGGATGAGACCCCTGCAATGCTCCTGCACACACATCCCAGCCTCGATTCCGGTGGAATGGAGACCAGAGTAGTTCTTGGCGCTGGGTGGCTAGTTGGTCCCCATGGGCGTGTTTTAGTAGTGTGCCTTGCATAAGCCCAGGGATTGGCATGTCTGTGAGTGTACCCCCCCATCCTGGGTGCCACCCTGGATCCGGCCCATTGATACCCTCTCCTGAGCACCTACGCATGCATTTCCATGTCTTTCCTGTCTCGTTTGGGGGATGATGGCGAGATTCTTATGCTATACAGAGGGGTTCTCGAAGCCACCATGTCCCCATCTCTGCAGGTCCTTTTCCGGACGGAGAGTGGCCGGCCCATTGCCGTGCTCTGCCTGACTGTGGAGCCCCAGCCCCACGTGGTGGACCAGGTCTTCCGCTTCTACCACCCAGAGCTCACCTTCCTGAAGAAGGCCATCCGCCTGCCTCCCTGGCACACACTTCCAGGCAGGTCCCACGCATCCCTGTGGCTGCCATCGTGCGCCCAGCTAGCGGGAAGAAGTATCTCCCCATGGTGGCACGCGGCGCCTCCTAGGTTCTGACCCTGCCTTTATGGCTTGAAATAGAAGCTTCCAGCTTTCTTCTTGGGTGACAAGGTGCATATTTGGTGGCTGGTTCCACAGAAAATTCCTGGCTCTCATGATCCAGATCTATCCCCCATCAGGCATGAGGGTGTGGAGCTGGGTGTTTGCTTCTGTGTGGCTACTCCCTCTGATGGACAGCCTGACAAGAGACTGAGGTGCCCTGGGTTAGAGTGTCAGCATCCGAAGCCATGCAGTGTGTGTGTGTGTGTGTGTGTGTGTGTGCGCGTGTCTGTGTGTGTGTGTGTCTGTACTCAGTGAAGTGAGGAGTTATCTCTTTCTCCTTTTCCAGGTGCTCCCGTGGGGACGCCTGGTGACGACCCCCCAGTCCATGTTCGATGCAGTGACCCGAATGTCATCTGTGAGGCCCAGAACGTGGTATGCCATGTGTGTCAGCCCCACCTTGAGCAGATCCTCCAGGGAACCCCCTCCTTCCCATCTCCACTGCATCCCCAGAGCCTCCCATTGGTCTGGTGATGAGGGTTTCTCCCGCAGAGCTGTGCCGGCGTGGGTCAGGGCTTATGAAGCCCTGCCATCATAAGGAAGGCTTCAGGAATGAGCTTTTCAGGTTTTCTGCTAGCAGATCTGTTCCTTGATTATCCGAGTTTAAATTTTAAGAAAAGGCACGAAACAAAACGAACTAAGCATGGTAATTGAGGCACTTACTAATTGCCGTTATGCAGAGGGTAGGGGCACTAATTGTATTATGACTGGTTAGGAAGCTAGATGGAGTCTGAGGAATATAATTATTGAAATCAATATAAGATCAGGAAGCTATGATTTTCTTGTGCAGTGAGCAAAATAGTGAGTCCCGACAAGTAGAAGAAAGATTAAGGCACCACATGGGGAGGGGCCCTGCACACCTGCCTTCCCTCACCCAGCTGCGCCGAGTCTGGCCAGGTGCAGCCCAGCAGAGGACACGGGTGGCTGGGAACCAACGTGCCGCATACTGTGTTTGGCAGGGCCCCGGTGAGCCACGGGATGTGTTTCTCAAGGTGGCCAGCGGTCCAAGCCCGGAGATCAAAGACTTCTTTGTCATCATCTATGCGTAAGCACAGATCCGGGAAGGGGCAGAAGAGGGGCGGTCTGGACTTGACGTCAAGGGACCGACTCCCCCTAGGCATGCTGGGTACTGGTACTTTGCTCTGTGAGGAGAGTGATGAGTCAGGCTGGGCTTAGAGGCCAACCAGGCCTTGGTGATAGCGTGCTGTCTCCCAGAGTAGCAAGTAGCCCAAGAGGTGGGCATGATGTATGCCCTCCAAGGAAGGGACAGTGCAGCTCCCTGGCCCAGAGCCACCCAAGATGACCCACAACCCTCCCCTCAGTGGATCTGCACTGAACCCCGAGGTCATCTGGAGCGCAGCCCCTCCCTCTATCGACAGCTGCCTTCCTCCGTCTTTTGTCTTCATCTATCGCGCCTAAAGACTGGTCAAGCCACACCTTGGCTTTTCACCCAGCTAAACAGTTCCATTTCGAGCCCTTTAAAACTGGAGCGGCCTAGGATGCTTCCTGTGTGGCTTCTGACGGTGGAACTGTGGGAGTCACCTATACTGGGGGGGTGAGAGACTGTGCACCATTTATGCCGTATGAACATGTCTCAGGGGTGCCTTGTGGAACATGTTATCACCCCGTCCCATTTTACAGTAATGCCATGGAGTCTCAGAGCTGAGACTTGATGTAAGCTCCGAGCCCAGGCTTGTGGCCTCCAGCCACGGTCCCCGCTGTCCTAGGCTCGGCTGAGATTCAGTTTTCCAAACTGCCCACTTGGACAGAGCTCACATTTTCATCACCTGACATGCATTTCTCAAGCTTCCTCACTCAGCAGTGTCCTGGGAACAGACCAACTGTATAGCTCCAGCTTGAGAGATTCCAGGTTAGGGCATGGGTGGCTAGCCCCAGTCCTGAACACAGGGGTCCCATCCACTGTGGCTTCTGCAGCTGTCCCTGTGGCCGCTTGGCTCTGGTGAGCTTCTTTCCCAATGACTGCCCTGCTAAGATGTGTGGACGACCCCTGTCATCTGCAGGGATCGCTGGCTGGCGGAGCCTGTGCAGATGTGGCAGGTCTGTCTCCACTCCCTGCAGCGTGTGGACGTCTCCTGTGTCGCAGGACAGCTGACCCGTCTGTCCCTTGTCTTACGGGGGACACAGACGGTTAGGAAAGTGAGAGCCTTTACCTCCCACCCTCAGGAGCTGAAGGTATGGCCCTTTTTGGAGGTGGAGCTGGGGGTCTCTTTGCTTCTCTGAGCCCCTTCCTGCCCAGCCTGCAGAGGCACGGGAGTGGTGGGCTGTGGAGGCCTGGGAGTGGTGGGCTGTGGAGGCCTGGGAGTAGTAGGCTGGAGAGACACGGGAGTGGTGGGCTTCGGCACCAGGGTGGCTGGTGGCAGCTTTCACAGCTCGTCCCCACTGAGCTACCTGTTTTGAAAACTGCCTTTTGCTGGATGTGGTGCTGAGGCTGGGGACCAATGCATACCCCAGAGGCTTTCAGGATCACTAAAAGGTGACTGTCAGCAACTGTGTCACCACAAGAGGGCTGTGTCCTGATCTCTCCCTTGTCCTTGAAGACAGACCCTGCAGGTGTCTTTGTGTTGCCGCCTCATGGGGTACAGGACCTTCATGTGGGCGTGAGGCCGAGGAGGGCTGGCAACCGCTTTGTCCATCTCAATCTGGTGGACATGGACTACCACCAGCTGGTGGCATCGTGGCTGGTGTGTCTCTCCTGTCGCCAGCCACTCATTTCCAAGGTCAGTATAAACAGTGTGGTAGGTGGGGGCGGGGCAAAGGCACCTTAGGGCCTCTGCTGTGTCCTGTGGGTGATGATATTACCTGGCCCTGGGACCCAGCTACCCAGATCCAGGCTCTGTGTGAGGCGGAGATGGGACAAACCTCTCTGGGATGATTCCTGGACGGCTGGCCTGTCTTCTCTTGGTGGATATCCCAGGATCTGTGGCCAGGTGGAGCACCTGTGCTCAGGAGTGCTCAGGCTGAGCCAGCGGCCATTGGGTCTCTTGTTCCACTCCCTCCCCAGGCCTTTGAGATCACCATGGCAGCAGGCGATGCGAAGGGTGCCAGCAAGCGGATCACCTACACCAACCCCTATCCTTCTCAGAGGACCTACCACCTACACAGTGACCGCCCTGACCTGCTGCAGTTCAAGGAGAGCTCCTTCCAGGTCTGCCTCGAGGGCTGGCGTGCACGCTGGGAGGGGTAACCCCATACTCGGGAGTGGGGCCTGCTTCCAGCTGGCAGGCTCTAGAAGGTTGGGGAAATGCTTCAGGTGGCAGGTGAACACCATGGCCCTCGTGCCCTCCACTGGAAGACCCTGACCTCCTGTGCCACCACGTGCAGGTGGATTTTTCTCTGAGGAAGTGTGGCTGAACTTTGAGGGTGGAAGAGGGTGATGGGAGTGTGGGGCCTATGAGGGGGCCGTCTGCGGGGCCTACTGAGGGGGGCCGTCTGTGGGGGCCTACTGAGGGGGCGGTCTGCGGGGCCTACTGAGGGGGCGGTCTGCGGGGCCTACTGAGGGGGGGGGCTGGG